GGGGTGGGGGGGGGCATTTTTGGCCTCCTCCCACACTTTACCCCACCTGCCCCCCACGGCCTCACGCCGCTATTGCCCCCCCCCCCCCCCCCAGTAGCGGCCGAGTGGCACGGAGGTGGCGGCGTGCGGCGTGTTTCATTTAGAAACTCGCCACCGTCGTTTCAGCCGCCCCACCGCTGCCAGGGGATTGAACTCGTCCCCCTCCGAAGGCGATTCTCGTCCGCCCAGGGCGACGTGGCGGGCGACGGCTTCACGAGCGAGAGTTCCACGGGCTCTGCCAGTCGGGCGAGCGGTGAGCTGCAGTGCCACTCGGCAGCTGCCAGGCTGAACATTCTTTCTTTCTCAATACCGCCGGGTTTTTAAAGGAAGGAAAAAAGATGTTTTTTTTATTTTGTTTCGGGAAGCCCTTCGCGTATTGCGTCCGTTGACGAGAGCCGGCATTGCCGCTATTTAAACAAACAAACAAATATTAATAATTTATTACGAATCCCACACTCTCTCTCGCGCGTTTTGCGTCATTAAATGTTTCTGGTCGGAAGTCAAAGGAGAAGCTGGGGGGGGGGGTAGTGGTGGTGGGTGGTGGGAGGTGGAGAGGTTTAATCTGTTTGGTTTAACGACTGGCGCTTGGCCCCGGGTGACGCGCTCGCCGGCACGTGCATCGCGTGAGCGGCGGTCCTAGGCCTCTGCTCTAGTACCTCGCGCTCACACGGCGGGTCCCACCCTCCTTGGGGCCCGCGCTCGCTCTCCGTTCCGGCCGCGCTTGGCTCCGCGCTTGGCTCCGTTTGGCTCTGTTTGGCTCTGTTTGGCTCCGCGTTTGCTTTGGCCGTAGGCCCGGGAGCCGTTGCCGGTCTCCGCTATCTCCTCCGTCGTATCGGCTCCGGGAAGGAAGGCGCCGTATCGCGAACCAACCTCGTCCTCGTCGTCGTCGTCGTCATCCCCGTGGAAATATTCCCCCTTTTGTTATTTTGTTATCTTTGTGCTCGGTCCCTTGGGGCGATTTCTTCTTTTCGTAAGTTCCTTGGTTTTGTTGCGCAAGGACGCGGCGAGTCGCCCGCCCGTCGGCCGGGGATCCGTCGGCGTTGTTCCATTCCATCGGCGCGGGGCCAGCCGCTGGCTCGGCCGTCTCATCCTCTCGCTCTCCGTCTTTGTTGTCCGGGGAGTGATAGTGTAGCGGTTAGCGCTACGCTGCGCTATGAACCCGGCGACAAGGGTTCGATTCCCGCTCACGGCCAACACCAGTGACGATTATCTGAACCAGTCCCAGGCCTCAAATGAGTACCTGGTGTGGTGTGTAAACATCGCCACTAGGGAGACAAAGGCGGTCGGGCGTGGTGCTGGCCACCCACCCCCTCGTGTACCGTTCTGGCCTTCATAGGTGCTCGCTAACAGCACTTGCCCCTACAGTCTGATAAGGCTATATGGGGGATCTTTTTATCTTTGTGTGTGTGTGCACGCGTGTCCCTCGGTCACTCTCGCTGTCGCTCCCTCTCCCCCGTCCTCCGCGCGGCTCTCCCCACGTGCGCCCGTCTCCTCGCGCAAAACTCTGAGGGGGGAGGGAAAATGAAAAGAAACTTGTGGGAAAATCTCTTTCTGCTTTCTGCCTTGGGCTCGCGTCACCGCCGGAAAAAAACCCAACGCACAACCCCAGCGCCGCCGTCGTGCGTGCGTCATTCCCCATCGGTGGGTCGTTCGGGGGGCCCCTCCCCCCCAGCCCCCCCACGGCCAGTCGTCGCCGGGCTTTAAGCGCGGCTGTAGAATCGAGAGGGTTGCGCTGCCAAGTCGTCGGGGAGTTCTCCGCACGGTTTTGCGATCTCTAATGACGCGTTATTACCTCCCGGCGCCGGGGTGCGACTCTCCGCCAAAACGTCACCCCGGAGAAATCCTCGCGAGGCTCTGACCTCGGCAGCGAGGTTCCCCGGGGGGATCCCGCTCGGGATGTTGGGCCCAAGTCTTCATCGCCCTTGATAGCGGCGGCGGCAACAACAACAACAAGGACGATGTCAAGTTAAAGCCCCGTTGTCACTCCACCGCTGGACGCGAAGGCGTCTGCACGCTTCACCGGTGCCCGGTCGTTGCCGGTTGGTGGTGGAGCCGAGGTCCCGTCCGTCGGTCGCTGCCGGTGTTGACCGCGGCCGGGGATCGAACTCGGGCCGCCGAGTTCGCGGCCGCGGTGCGCTCACCGCTCCGCCACGACGGTGAGGGTCGTGGGTTCAATCACCCGGTGAGGCAGGTCAAGCAAGCGGCGGTGCAAGATTCTTACACCCCCCCTTCCCCCCCCGCCAGCCACCTGTGTGTACGTGGGGTGGCACCACAGCCGCGTGGACCAGCAGGTCCCGCTGCGTTGTGGCAAAGTGTGGACACCGACCTCCGCTTCTTCCCAAGACGTCTGGCCCAGCGCACGGACCCCCATGCCCCCCCTCCCCCACCCCCCACCGCTCTGCTCGCGGTGGCACGAGCGAGCAATTGCAGCCCTGCGCCTTAGCCGATGACGATGACGGCAGCTTCGGCGGCTCTCTCAGGGTTCACTTTCACGGAGGGTCGCCGTGGCGAGGCGGCGGTGTCGGTCAGGTCAAAGGGGGCGGGGGGGGGGGGGGCTGTGGGCGGAGCCAGCCTTGCCCCCGCCCCGCCTCCCACAGGTCGCCGGCACGTGCCAGGGGTCGCGGGGTCACAGGAGGGGAGGGAGAGCGAGGGGAGGGGTGGGAGAGTGAGGGGAGAGACGTGAGAGTGAGCGGAGGGGCGGGAGCCGGCGTGCGTTGGGGTCACGGTGTCTGCTCGCCGGTGCCAGGTCGGGTCACCTGGACTACGGAGACCAGGCCGGGGCGGGGGGGGGGGGGGAACACTTGCGACGGCGGCCCGGTGAGTGCCGTGTTTGTCCGGGGGCCCCGGGGGTCGGTCGCCGCGGCGACATTGACCGCGCGGCGGCGGGGGTCACGGCCGCCGCTGTTGGCCGCCGTCAGCAGAGTGGAGGGGGAAGTGCGACTCCCGCAACGCGCGGAGCGACATCGCACCGGCGGGGGGAAGGATGCCGGGATTGTTTGGCGGCGCTGGCGCCCCCGGATGGGTTGCGTGGTGGTGGGGGGGGGGGGGAGGTCGGGGAGAGAGTGGAGGGGGGGGACAGTGGAGGGGAGGCGAGGGAGCGATCGAGAGGTCGGCCAACGAGCGAGCGAACAAACCGCGTGGCCACGGGGCTCGCGAGGCCCAACGCGGTGGCAGGAACGAGACGAATGGGGCCTGGCCGAAGCCTGGGGTGTGAATGACCGTGACCCCTGACCCCCGACCACGCACCAGTCGCTAGAAGAGACCGAGGCACAGCCAGCAGTCGAGAGACCAACGATGTAGGCGGCAGCCACGGGAGGGAGCGGGCGCGGCAGGGAACGTCCCCTCCGCAGAGACGGAGCGATGAAACCCGCTCGTGCGCAGGAGCGCTCCGCTGGATAGCCGCGTCGTGGACCTACGCGGGATGCCGACGGCTTGCGGAGGCCTCGGCCCGGCAGCGGTCGTCACCGTGGGCCGCTAGGGCACCGCGACCGCCCCAACACCACCGTCTCTGGGGGGGGGGAGCAGTGGCGGCCGGGAATGTCGGTCGTGGCGTTTGCTCCGGCGCCCTTCAAAGGGGGGTGGGGGGGGGGCCTGTTTGACGTTATCGGTGAGTCGGCGCGTGGCTGCGATCTGCGATGGACAGATTTGATTATCGCTCTCAGAAACGAAACGCAGCCGCGGCGCTAATGCCCAGATGGAGCGAATTGCCCCGAATTATCGCCTCGCTCCTGCGAACTATGGGGGGGGGGATGGGGGGGGGTGGTGCTGGGCTCGAGTTGAGCGGTCGTGCGAACGGCCGCGGGTTCCGTGTCCGGTCAGAGCGACGTGGGGGGGGGGTCATGGGGCAAAAAAGGGAATTTGACGGCGCTTGTCAAAATAGGTTTTTTTTTCCGACTTGTTCAAGTTGCTTCTTAATGTTTATCCCGCACCGGTCCGCAGGCGGGCGGGCGGGCGGTCTCTCACCCCCGTATCCCTCGTCTACGGCTACCGCTACCGTGGTTACTGTTCCCGTGAGCTTGCCGCCTCGTCCGATTCCTCCAAACTTTGTTGGGGACTCGGGCGACCAGACACCGTCCGTTTCGTCTCAACCACCACCACCACCACGCTGCGTTCAGAATCGGCATCTTTGTTTAGACTGCAGGAGAAATCCGATGAGCTGTCAAGCTCTTTTTCACAGGTGTCCATTCGGGGCGGCTCGGCAAACGGTACAAAAATCACGATAGAAAATGCAAAGTATAGGTAAGGTAAACGAATCACTTAAAATATGCAAATTTCACTTTTTATCTTATCGGATGAATCCCAATGAGCGACCTGGCCACAAATGATAGCTCAACAAAGCGGCTTGTCGTCACGTGCAAATTTCTAGCGGACACATCCTCTCAGCACGTGCTCGTTCCCAATGTGTTGGGGGAAAAAACGAAGGACCCGGAGAAAAATCCACACGACCACAGGGAGAGAGAGAGACGCGAACTCCAAATATAAAGCAGCAGCAGCAGCAGTCATCGTCAGGGTCAGGATCAAACCCACGACCTCCTGTACCACCAGGCGATGGAGTTAACATCTCCTAGCCACCGTGGCGAGATGCGTTTGAAATGCGGGTGAGGAGGATGGCAGAGAGAGGGGGGGTGGGGGGCAATTCATAGCAGCGAAATAATCGAATTAATAACGCATCGTTTGACGCCACATGTCACAACAACGCACTCGCTCGCCCAACACTCGTGCCCCTCGATCGCCCACTTGGAGGGGGGGGCGGGGGGATTTGCAGATCCGCCTTCAGCACCGAACGCCAGCGAGCGCCTTTTCCTTAAGATTCTTTTAGTGGTTTTTTTTCTGTTAATATGCCTTTGATAGAAATGTACTAGAACGCAATTTTGTTTCGTCTCGAAATAACTTTTATCGTTCACCCCCCCCCCCCCCCCCCAATTTGTCGTTTCTCTCCCCCCCCCCTTCCCGCTCGTTAGCGCCGATGAGCTGCTGCTCACCGAGATGCTCTTCAACGGCGTCTTCAACGAGCTCACGCCGCAGCAGTGCGCCGCCCTGCTCAGCTGCTTCGTGTTCCAGGAGAAGGTGAGAGGTCGCGACCCGCCGCCCCCCCCCCCCACCTCCAACCGACTTCCTGTCTAGCCCGGGGTCAGGGGTCGTGCCGGCTCTTCCTGCGGCCTGCTGGTCGGGCTGGCGGCCGCCACCGCCGTTGCTACGCGCACACGCGCGCGCGCACGCGCTCACACGCTCGCACACACACGCGCACACACACACACGCGCGCACGCGCCGCGCCGTGTTTGTTTATGCGACCTTTGCCGATCGTTTAGCGCCGCGGAGCGATTAGCTCGGCGCTACTGGGCGGCGTGTCCAGGTGTGAGAGGGATGTGCGTGTGTTAGCGTGTGCGCGCGTGTGTGTACGTGTTAGCGTGCGCGCGTGTGTGTACGTGTTAGCGTGTGCACGTGTGTGTACGTGTCAGTGTGCGCGCGTGTGTATACGTGTCGGCGTGTGTGGGGAGCGGAGGTGGCGGTGGTTGGCGTACTGCGCCATGAACCCGGCAACCAACCGAGTTCAACATCGGTGACGGATATCTGAACCCGGGCCATAGGCCCTCCACTAGGCCGACTCGGCCTTAAACGAGTATCTGGTGTAGTGTGTAAAACATCTGCAACGGGGAGACAAAGGCGATCGGGCGTGACGCTCGTCACACACGCACTGGACCAGCCCTCGCTAGCAGCACCTCGCTAACAGCACCTCGCTAACAGCACCTCGCTAACAGCACCTCACTAACAACACCTCACTAACAACACCTCGCTAACAGCACCAACTCGCTAACAACACCTCGCTAACAACACCTCACTAACAACACCTCGCTAACAGCACCTCACTAACAACACCTCGCTAACAACACCTCACTAACAACACCTCGCTAACAACACCTCGCTAACAACACCTCGCTAACAACACCTCGCTAACAACACCTCGCTAACAACACCTCGCTAACAGCACCTCGCTAACAACACCTCGCTAACAACACCTCGCTAACAACACCTCGCTAACAACACCTCACTAACAGCACCTCACTAACAGCACCTCACTAACAACACCTCACTAACAACACCTCACTAACAACACCTCACTAACAACTCCTCACTAACAACACCTCACTAACAACACCTCACTAACAACACCTCGCTAGCAGCACCTCACTAACAACACCTCACTAACAACACCTCACTAACAGCACCTCGCTAACAACACCTCACTAACAACACCTCACTAACAACACCTCGCTAACAACACCTCGCTAACAGCACCTCACTAACAGCACCAACTCGCTAACAACACCTCGCTAACAACACCTCACTAACAACACCTCACTAACAACACCTAACTAACAGCACCTCACTAACAACACCTCACTAACAACACCTCACTAACAGCACCAACTCGCTAACAACACCTCGCTAGCAACACCTCGCTAACAGCACCTCACTAACAACACCTCACTAACAACACCTCGCTAACAGCACCTCACTAACAACACCTCGCTAACAACACCTCACTAACAACACCTCGCTAACAACACCTCACTAACAACACCTCGCTAACAACACCTCACTAACAACACCTCGCTAACAACACCTCGCTAACAACACCTCGCTAACAGCACCTCACTAACAACACCTCGCTAACAGCACCTCACTAACAACACCTCACTAACAACACCTCGCTAACAGCACCTCACTAACAACACCTCGCTAACAACACCTCACTAACAACACCTCGCTAACAACACCTCGCTAACAACACCTCGCTAACAACACCTCACTAACAACACCTCGCTAACAGCACCTCGCTAACAACACCTCGCTAACAACACCTCACTAACAACACCTCGCTAACAGCACCAACTCGCTAACAACACCTCGCTAACAACACCTCACTAACAACACCTCGCTAACAGCACCTCACTAACAACACCTCGCTAACAACACCTCACTAACAGCACCAACTCGCTAACAACACCTCGCTAACAACACCTCGCTAACAACACCTCGCTAACAGCACCAACTCGCTAACAGCACCTCGCTAACAACACCTCACTAACAACACCTCGCTAACAGCACCTCACTAACAACACCTCGCTAACAACACCTCACTAACAGCACCAACTCGCTAACAACACCTCGCTAACAGCACCTCACTAACAACACCTCACTAACAACACCTCGCTAACAGCACCTCACTAACAACACCTCACTAACAGCACCTCGCTCCGACGGCCTGCCTGGTGGCAGCACGGGCGACGTTGCTTCTATGGAATCGAGATGATGTCACCGGGGGTCGCGAGCGAGCGCAAGGCCTCCGCCTCCCTCCTCCTCCTCCTCCTCGCCGCCCCCTCTCCTTCTCCCCCTTCTCTCCTCCTCGTCTCCTGCTGCCTCCTGCCTGGCCCACGATGCGCTACTGCTACTGCTGCTACTGCTGCTGCTGCTACTGCTACTGTTGCTGCTGCTGCTGCTGCTGCGGCTGCTGCTACTGCTGCTGCTGCTGCGGCTGCTGCTGCTGTTGCTGCTGCGGCTGCTGCTGCTGCGGCTGCTGCGGCTGCTGCTCCTGCTGGGCGTGGCTGGCTCCCAGCTGCCACGCTCTCAGATCCCAGGCTCCGCGCTTGCGCAGCGGCGACGGTAAATGCGGCGGTTCCGCTTCGCAGCTGCGCCCGGCTGTGTGCGGCGCGGCGCTGCGAACCGCCCGGGCGAGAGACCCGAGTTCGATTCCCGGCTAGCGCTACGTGGTGAGGGAGGATCTTTATGGGCGCCGCGCTACGGAGGCGGCTCCGGGCCGATGAGCTTCGATTCACAGCCACAAACGCCGGTGATGCTTATCTGGGCTTCCCCCTAAGTCCACTCGCCGAGTGCGGTGCGTGGTAAACATCGCCACTGGGGAGACAAAGGCGGTCGGGCGTGGTGCTGGCCGCACACCCCCTCGTGTGCCGTGCCGGCCTTCATAGGCTCCGCTCACTTCAAGCACTTTCCCCGACAGTCTGTTGAGGCTATATGTGTCGTCTTTGTGCGAGTGTGAACTGTGGATTTGTGTAGTCGATTGTGTTTATTTGCATGTTCAGTGCGTGTGAGCATGTGTGAGCTTGGGGGGATGTGTGTGAGTGTGTTTGTGTGTGCACGAGCGAGTGTGTGAGCGCTCGTGAGCTTGTGAATGTGCGTGTGCGAGTGCGCGGTGATATGCCTGTGAATGTGTAGTGTGTGCGTGAGCGTGGGGGAATGCGCGCGTGCGTGCGTGTGTGTGTGTGCGTGCGTGTGTGTGCGTGTGTGTGTGCGTGTGTGCGTGTGTGTGTGTGCGTGTGTGTGTGTGTGCGTGCGTGTGTGTGCGTGTGCGACCGTGTGCGTGTCTCTGCATCGATGCCCGGGTGCGATCAAGGGATGGCTCCCTATTGGTCAACCACGTTATGTATGCCGATGATTTGGTAATAGCTGCTCATTCAGAAGAGGAGTTGGAGACGCTGCTGCTGAGACTGGAGCGTGCCACTAAGAGGTGGGGCCTTACCATCAGCCCCACCAAAACTAAGCACCTGCCTGGGTATTTTGTACCATCGGACACTCCACCCCCACAACTCCCAATTGGTGATGGGGCAGTTGTGGAAAGAGTGGAGAGTTTCCCATACCTGGGCAGTGTGCTTATGACCGGCTCCAGTTTATCAGCAGAGGTCTCACTCCGAATCAGTCGAGCGGCAATATCTTTTCATCGGTTGCGTAACGCTGTGTGGAAGCTACCTGGTCTGTCACTCCGCACGAAGCTTCAGGTCTTCTCGGCCACGGTCATTCCCTCCCTTCTCTACGCTTGCGAGACGTGGACCCCCCTGGTGGAGCATCTTCGCCGGTTGGAAACATTTAGGCTGGCCTGCCTACGATCCATCCTAGGTTTAACCAGGCTGGATTGTGTGAGAAGCTCACAAATCCTTGAAAGATCTGGGCAAAGTCCCATCAGTGAGCTCCTCCGGCAGGCAAGGCTGCGTTGGCTGGGTCATGTAGCCCGCATGCCCAGCCACCGCATGCCTAAACAGCTTTTGTTCGGCCGGATCGAGGGGGCTAGACGGGCGCGGCACGGGCTGGAGAAGAGATGGAGTGATGTGGTACAGGAGGACGTGGAGCTGAGTGGACTTGCCGATGACTGGTACCAGCGGTGTCAAGATCGGCCTCTGTGGAGGAGGCTCGTGAAGGACGCTACTGGGCAGTTGGAGGCAGTCGCCCTCCAACAACAACGGAGGGCGGAGGAGCGACGCTCACAACAACGAGCGGAGCGCCGGGTGGCTAAAGCACAGCAAGTTGGTACAGTAGGGGGCACAGGTGGTGAATCAGTCATCTCGGTCAGTCGACCCGTGGCACCTGGGTCTGCCCCGTGACCTCCTGCCAGCGAGCGTTCGACACTTCACGTGGCCTCAAGGTGCACTTGGCCTGGCACAAGCATCGTGGTGACGTCACCGCCACTTAGTGGCGAATGGCGGTTGTTGTTGTTGTGTCTCTGCATGTGTGTGTTTGTGTCAGCGGGGCGCGGTAGTGTAGGGGTTGGCTCGCCGCGCTACGAACTCGGCGACCCGAGTTCGAATCCTGCTGACGGTCAACACCAGTGACGTTTTTCAGAACCGGCCCCGGGCTTCCTCTGGGTCGACTCAGCCTCAAATGAGTACCTGGTGCAGTGCTGTCCACCCACCCCCTCGTGTGCCGTTCCGGCCTTCGTAGCTGATCGCTAACGGCACTTGCCCCTGCAGTCTGTTACAGGCTACACGGGGGATCTTTGCCTCGTGTGTGAATGTGCTGAGCCCGTGAGCGTGCGTGTTTATTATATTTCAGCAGATCTTGTGAACTCGTCGCTGTGGCGGCGGCGGCGGCTGTGTGAAGCTGGCCCCGGGTGCCGCCCCAGCTGCATGGGCCCCGGGTGCCGAGGGGGGGGGGCCCGGGGTGTGGGGGGATGGGGGGGGGGCCAGTTGGGGGGTGTGGGGGGGGGGCTCTCGCATTCCGTGCCGTGGTTCACTTTGCCGGGCGCGATGAGTGAGCTCCGCCGCTAACGATGCCGCTAATTAGCCGAAATCCATCGCGTGTTTTACACCGCGCGCGATTGCGTTTGTGCGTGCGTCCGCGTGTGTACGTGTGTACTTGTGTCCGTGCGTGTGTGTACGTGTGGTTATGTGTGTGTGCGCGTGTGTGTGTGCGCGTGTGTACGTGTGTACTTCTGTCCGTGCGTGTGTATACGTGTGTGGTTATGTGTGTGTGCGCGTGTATGTGTGCGCGTGCGTCCGCGTGTGTACGTGTGTACATGTGTCCGTGCGTGTGTGTCTGTGTGGTTGTGTGTGTGTGTGCGCGCGTGCGAACGTGCTTGAGTGACTTACCTAATGTTAGTTTTGGCCGTGAGATTTCGCGTGCTTTTTTTTTTCTCCTTGCGTCCCGAGGCGCGGAGGGGAACAGCTGCGGCGTTGGAGCCGGTGTGACGGCGGCGCCACACGGCACCACAACGCACCACAACGCACCGCAACGCACCGCATCGCACGGCACTGCACGGCACCGCACGGCACCGCACGGCACCGCAACGCACCGCAACGCACCGCAACGCACCGCACGGCACCGCACGGCACCGCACGGCACCGCACGGCACCGCCAGGGCCTCCCTCGCCCTTGGATGTTCGCCACGTCGCGGACAAACGAAGCTACGCGCGCAACGATGCGGCGTCTCCCTCCGCGTGCAAAAGTATCGCTCGCAAAGCCCGTCGTCGCAACGGCATGGTCCGCGGCTCTAGAGCCTCGCTCTCACCCACGGTGTCTCGGCGATAGTCGTCGGCATGCTCCTGAAGCAATGCTGCACGGGGGATCGTTGTGCGTGTCCGTGCGTGAGTGTGTGTGCGTGAGTGTCCGTGTGTGCGTGTGCGCTCGTGTTGGCCTTGTATGGCTTTGCCACCACATGCGATATTGACACAAGCACATTTTGTGCACGTGTGTGTGGCCGCGTGTGCTTGTGTGTCTGCGTGTGTGTGCATATGTGTGTGTCCGTGTCTGCGCGTGTGTGTGTGTGCGTGCTCCTGTACGCATATAAGGTGGTGTAGCGCTTAGCGCCATGCTGCGCTACGAACCCGGCGACACGAGTTCGATTCCCGCTCACGGCCAACACCAGTGACGATTATCTGAACCGGTCGTGGGCCTCCCCTAGGTCGACTCGGCCTAAAATGAGTACCAGGTGCGGTGTGTAAACATCGCCACTGGGGAGACAAAGGCGGTCGGGCGTGGTGCTGGCCACCCACCCCCTCGTGTGCCGTGCCGGCCTTCATAGGCGCTCGCTAACAGCACTTGCCCCAACGGTCTGTCAAGGCTACACGATCTTTGTCTTTGTGTGTGTGCGCGTAGGGAATGGAGATGTCCCGACTCACAGAGGAACTCGCGGCCCCACTCCGGCAGCTCCAGGTGGGGATTTGTCACGTGGCAACGCAGATTTCACTTCAGTTCACCCTGCGTTGATTTCAATGGTTTCAGGTCTCGCCACATTTGTTCTGGCCTAAGCCGCCCGCATTTTTTCTTTTGTGGTTGTTTCTCTGCATCTCAACTATTTAGTCTATTCTACCAGGTAAGGGCCAATGAGCTACGTAGCTCTGTGTCAGATGGGACCTGGACATCATAAACGATCGCTCGATCAAGTGGGCTTCTCACGGGGATATTTACGGCAGCGATGCTGATTCTAAATGTGGAGGGGAAAACCGGAGGACCTGGAGAAAAATCCACGCGACCATGGGGAGAGAGAGAGAAAGACACAAACTCTTAAATATACAGGGAACTTTTTGGCCAGTATGAAAGTATGAAAATGTAAGAATAGTTTTTACTCTTTTCTGGCTATAAAACTGGACGCGTTAAGAAGTTCAAACACAAAATAGAAACCTTTTGTTGCAATGAATCAAGGCTGTGTTACTCGCACACTCTACTTGCAGTGAAAGGCGACAAGCACAAGGCCACTATCAGAGCGTTTATCGCTCATTTGTACGGCATGAGCCGTACGAATGAGGAGTGTGTTGTTGTTGTTCTAGATTTGAAGTTTTCGTGACTGCAAGGGTCCATGCTCTTGGTTCTTTCGGTAAAGTCACGTGGGTAAAGAAATAATAAATAAAAGATAAAAATAAATAAAATGAGTCTAATTAGTATAAATAAAATCGGTATGAATGTTCTTGCTGTGGTGTTCACACCCGAAGACGATTGCTTGTGTTGCCACCGTCACGTCGTGATGTGATTGTGTTTGTATCTGCAGGAGTGCGCTCGCCGTATCGCCAAGGTGGCGGCGGAGGCGAAGCTGGGCTTGGAGGAGGACGACTACGTCTCGTCCTTCCGGCCGGACCTCATGGACGTCGTCCACACCTGGGCCAACGGAGCCTCCTTCGCCCAGATCTGCAAGATGACGGACGTGTTCGAAGGTGGGCGGGCGGGCGGGCGGGGGGCGAGTGAGTGGGCGAGCGGGGCACGTGGGTGGGTGGGTGATTGAGTGGGTGGGTGAGCGGGGCACGTGGGTGGGTGGGTGGGTAGGTGAGCATGGCACGGTGGGTGGGTGGCTGGGTGGGTGGGTGGGTGAGCATGGCACGGTGGGTGGGTGGGTGAGTGAGGTGGGCGAGCGGGGCACGTGGGTGGGTGGGTGAGCATGGCACGGTGGGTGGATGGTTGGGTGGGCGAGTGTGGTAAGTGGGTGGGTGGAGTGGGTGGGTGAGCATGGTACGTGGGTGGAGTGGGTGGATGGGTGGGTGAGCGTGGCACGGTGGGTGGATGGGTGGGTGGGCAAGTGTGGCAAGTGGGTGGTTGGAGTGGGTGGGTGAGCATGGCACGTGGGTGGGTGGGTGAGCGTGGCACGGTGGGTGGATGGGTGGGTGGGCGAGTGTGGCAAGTGAGTGGGTGGCTGGGTGGGTGAGCGTGGCACGGTGGGTGGGTGGGTGAGCGTGGCACGGTGGGTGGGTAGGTGGCTGGGTGGGCGAGCGTGGCACGGTGGGTGGGTGGGTGAGCATGGCACGGTGGGTGGGTAGGTGGCTAGGTGGGCGAGTGTGGCACGGTGGGTGGGTGGGTGAGCATGGCACGGTGGGTGGGTAGGTGGCTAGGTGGGCGAGCGTGGCACGGTGGGTGGGTGGGTGGGTGAGCATGGCACGGTGGGTGGGTAGGTGGCTAGGTGGGCGAGCGTGGCACGGTGGGTGGGTGGGTGAGCGTGGCACAGTGGGTGGGTGGGTGAGCATGGCACGGTGGGTGGGTGGGCGAGCGTGGCACGGTGGGTGGGTGGGTGAGCATGGCACGGTGGGTAGGTGGCTAGGTGGGCGAGTGTGGCAAGTGAGTGGGTGGCTGGGTGGGCGAGCGTGGTGCATGGGACGAGTGGCTGAGTGGGCGACCATGGAACGAGTCAGTGAGTTGAGTGACGATTATGGGAATCGGTCGTGGGCTTCCCCTAGGTCGGCTCGGCATCAAATGAGCACCCGGTGCGCTACGAAGCCGGCTGTGACCCGACCACTTCGGCTCACGGCCAGCACCGACACGGGCGGCTCTTTGCCCCCCCCCGCTAAAGGCTATCGGGGGGATCTTTGTCATTGTGCAGCCTGCACGTGGGAGGGGGCCATGCAGAGCTCACGCCGTGGCCGCTCGTGGTGATTGCTCCTCGCTCGCGGGGGTCACGGCGGGGGTCACGGCGGGGGTCACGGCTTAATTACGTTTTGATTCCGTGGCGACCCCCCCCCCCACACGCACGCAGCATTTATTTATTTATTTTGCCGATGTCGTCGTGGTGCGGGGAATCGCATTCCCTGTTTACTCCGTGGCCCTGGCGACGATTCTGCTCGCTCTCGCTCCCCTCCCCGATGTCGTCTTGATCTCTCGCTCTCTCCTGCCCTTCCGCTCTCTCTCGTTCTCTCTCTCTCCCACTCCCCGCTGTCCCTCTCGTCTTGCTTGCTCTCTCGCTCTCTCTCGCTAGCTCACTCTCACTCACTCGTTCACTCACTCACGCTTTCCCTCTCTCTCTCGCTCGCTCTCTCGCTCGCTCTCTCTCACTCTCTCTCTCGCTCTCTCTCACTCTCGCTCGCTCGCTCTCTCTCACTCTCTCCCTCTCTCACTCTCTCGCTCTCACTCACTCTCGCTCGCTCTCTCACTCTCTCTCTCTCCCTCTCTCTCTCCCTCTCTCTCTCTCCCTCTCTCACTCTCTCTCTCGCTCTCACTCACTCTCGCTCGCTCGCTCTCTCGCTCTCTCTCACTCGCGTGCAGATGTTTCGCCGCTCGCGCGAGCGACCGCGCGGTGGATGACGCGATGACGACGAGGGGGGGCGTGGAGTGGGGTGGGGGGGCTTTAATAGCGCACCGACATCGAAACGGCCACGATACATCTCGTCGCCGTGGCGACGCCGCCGTCATAGTGCACGTGTGTGCGTGTTCGTGCGTGCGTGTGCGTGTGTGTGTGCGCGTGCGCATGCCTGTGGAGCGGTGGTGCAGCGGTTAGCGCACTGCGCTACGAACCCAGAGACCCCGAGTTGGATTCTCGCTCACGGGCAACAACGGTGACGATTATCTGAACCGGTCCTGGGCCTCCACTAGGTCGACTCAGCCTCAAACGAGTACCCGGTGCGATGCGTAAACATCGCCGCTAGGGAGACAAAGGCGGCCGGGCGCGGTGCTGGCCACCCACCCCCTCGCGTGCCGTGCCGGCCTTCGTAGGCGCGCTCTAACAGCACTTGCCCCTACAGTCTGACAAGGCTACACGGGGGATCTTTGTCTTCGTGCACGTGCAGGCACCGTGATCCGTTGCCTGCGCAGGCTCGAGGAGCTGCTCAAGCAGATGTGCCAAGCGGCCAAGGCCATCGGCAACGTGGAGCTGGAGAACAAGTTCTCTGACGGTACGACGCCCGCCGCTCCGCCAGTTAACACTATCATACTAAACAGTTTTGACTTAAAGCTTCCGTGACTGCAGGAATTCATATTCTGTGGTTCTTTCGGTAAAGTCGCGTGGAGATAGAAAACAAAATGAAAACGTCGCGAGTTTCTTTTGCTTTTCATGTTTTTTATTATTTTTATTTTATTTTCTAACTGCGTAGAATGATGCATTGTTATCGTTCGCGTGGACATGTGCACCAGCAGCCGAATGATCTTAAACCCCTGCGTGACCCCTACCTGACCCTGCGTGCCCCCTGCCTGAGCCCGCGTGACCCTTGCCTGACCCTTGCCTGACCCCTGCCTGACCCCTGCCTGACCCCGCGTGCCCCCTGTTTGACCCCGCGTGCCCCCTGCCTGACCCCGTGTGCCCTTCCCTGCCTTCCAGGAATCATGCGGATCAAGAGGGACATCGTGTTCGCCGCCAGCCTCTACCTGTGACGACGACGATAACAACGACAACAACTACGTCAACAACTACGTCAACAACTACGACAACAACTACGTCAACAACTACGTCAACAACAACGACGACAACAACTACGACCACGACGACGACGATCGTAAACGCCACGCGGTGGGACTTAGAGACGCCGCCTCTTCCACGTCGTTCGTTGCGCGTCGTCCTGGAAACGGTGGCGATGAAAAACGGCAACCACCACCACCGCGGCGACGATGACGACGATGACGACGCCAGTGAGACATGTCCACGATCCAATTGAGCGGGAGACCGGGGTTGGTGGATCAGAGCGGGAGCCGGTAGCTGCGACTAGCGGGACGGGGACGACGCTCGTCACGACCACCACCACCACCACCGATGGTGGTGCGGGGATTTCAACGCGCGTAGTTGTTCGTTCGCTCTCGGCAGAACGAGAGCACCAAGGACATTGAGAGAAAATGTTTCGGAGGTGCCGAGAGAAACCTCTCGGCCAAGCGGGCAACGGCGGCCAGAGCCTGCTCCCCCAACAATTGCCCAAGCTCTGTGATCCTACATTGCGACGTTTGACCAACTGGGTGAGTGAATGAATGGATACATGCGGCAGGAGAAAGCGCACGCGAAGGGGGTGTGCGAGTGGGTTGGCGGTAACAATCGGTCGACAACCATTGTCCCAAGCTCACGGTCCGACATTATCTGGTTGTCCCCACGAGCTACAATCTCGACGGGCGGGCGGAGCGGGAATTTTATCGGCAGTGGTAAAAGGCGGGCCGGTTTCTGTCAGCGCCGCGTTTTTATTTAGTTAAGCGCCGGCAAATCTATCGTTGCTTTTTTTATCATCATCAATCGTCGGTGCCGTCGCGATCTCTCCCCTCGTGTCGACTGCGTGACCCCCGACCCCCCTCACCCCTCCACCAGGCTGCCCCCCCCCCCCACGCCGTCGGAAAACCTCGAACCGGCGCATCGCCGCGGTAGTCACAGTAGGAGCGCCGCGTGGGGTTTGGCTGCGTTGGTGGCCTGGCGTTTTTTGCGTCTCCTTTTCACTCGGCGCGGTGCGGTGGGGGGGGGGAAAGGGGGCTTGGCGATTTCTCAACCGCGCGCGTTCCGGCTCGGCGCTTGGGTGTTTAAAGAGCGGCGCCGGTTTCTGTTTTACTTCCACGGTTTTTGACCGTGCCGCCGGTTACAGTTCGCGATCTTTCATTAAAAACCGGCGCATTTATCAACCGGGGCTTTGCCGTGACAGCGCGTGTCCCGTGTGCGTCCGCGCGTGTGTGGGATTAGCTGCCTCTGTAGGCCGATATCTGTGTGTGTGTGCGGGGGGGGCGGCAGCGTAGCAGTTAGCGCTACGAACCCGGACATCGGAGTTCGTAGCGCTACGTTGCGCTACGCTGCGCTACGAACCCGGACATCGGGGTTCGTAGCGCTATGTTGCTCTATGAACCCGGACATCGGGGTTCGTAGCGCTATGTTGCGCTACGCTGCGCTACGAACCCGGACATCGGGGTTCGTAGCGCTACGTCGCGCTACGCTGCTCTACGAACCCGGACATCGGGGTTCGTAGCGCTACGTTGCTCTATGAACCCGGACATCGGGGTTCGTAGTGCTACGCTGCGCTACGAACCCGGACATCGGAGTTCGATTCCCGCTCACGGCCGCCAACGTCGGTGGCGAAGATCTCAACCGGTCCTGGGTCTCCTTTACGTCGACTCGGCCTTAAATGAGTACCTGGGGGGGCGTGTAAACATCAGCGCTGGGTGGGTGTGGGGGGCGCAGTCCGTGAGTGAACCCTCGCGAGTGAGCTCCGTCGTCACCATCTCTCCCCCACAAGCTCCTTGCACAGTTCAAGGTGAACGCACCAACGAGCCCTGGATCCCGTGGCCAAACTTTTCACCGCTGCCCACCGTTCTTTTTCACCGTGATGAAGATTTGATTTTATTCCCAGCGAGCGACGCTAAAACCACCCCCCCTGTGGCACGCCACCTCCTCTGTCCACCTCCTGTCCACCTCGTGTCCACCTCCTCTGTCCACGTGTCCACCTCCTGTCCACCTCCTGTCCACCTCCTGTCCACCTCCTGTCCACCTCCGCCGCGTGCGGGGGAAAAACAAAATCCACGGCGGGCAGCGACGAGGTAGCTTTAAAATATTTATTTTTGTAGTTTTGCGTATAAATAATATCTGGCGTAGAAAAGAACAAATTTAAAAGTTGGCTTCTCACCCCGTCGAAGGCGAACGGCGCCGTATCAACACCACCACGACCACCACCGTGACCCACACCGCAGCAAGAAGACAGACCACGTCTCCACCACCCCCCCCCCCCCCCCCCCCCGTGCACGTCTCTCTCTCGCCGCTATGGCCGAGCGACGCCGCCGCCTACGACGGCAAGGAGCGGCGAAACTCGGCGAGCGGCGACTCTCTGACGGGCACAGCGATCGGAGGCGTCGACGGGGGGAGGGGGGGAAGGTGGAGCGACGGAGGGAAACCAACGCGGGTGAGAAGAACACCCGGCGGCGGCGATATAGCGTCTACACCATTTACAATACACGTTACACGTTAAATGTTGATCTATTTTAGTTATTTTAGCAAAGATAGTGGTGTCCACCGTCGAGGGTAGCGGGGGGGCGGCCGTGGGAATTGGCCACCCCGGGGGGGGGGTTGGGGTGGGGGGGTTGGGGTGGGGGGGGCCACCCCCCTCTTCCCTTTTCACAGACGTGGAGCGTCCCCCCTCAATCGTCGCGAGCACGGAATGCAACACGGGGATTAGAGGGGGGCCCTCCGGCTCACGCTCACTCACTCTCTCTCACTCGCTCGCTCACTCTCTCTCTCGCTCACTCTCTCACTTTCTCACTCGCTCTCATGTTCACTCGCTCTCACGCTCTCTCTCGCTCTCACTCGGTCTCACTCGGTCTCACTCTCTCTCTCATTCGCTCTCACGCTCTCTCGCTCTCTCTCTCACTCGGTCTCGCTCTCACTCACTCTCTAGCTCTCTCTCACGCTCTCTCTCACTCTCTAGCTCACTCTCGCTCACTCTCTCACTCGCTCTCACGCTCTCATGCTCTCTCGCTCTCTCTCTCACTCGGTCTCACTCTCACTCACTCTCTAGCTCTCTATCACGCTCTCACGCTCTCTCTCACTCTCTAGCTCACTCTCGCTCACTCTCTCACTCGCTCTCACGCTCTCACGCTCTCTCGCTCTCTCTCTCACTCGGTCTCACTCTCACTCACTCTCTAGCTCTCTATCACGCTCTCACGTTCACTCGCTCACTCACTCGCTCTCACGCTCTAGCTCGCTCACTCGCTCTCACACTCTCACGCTCTCTCTCACTTGGTCTCACTCTCACTCACTCTGTAGCTCACTCTCTCTCACGCTCTTTCTCTCACTCACTCTCTAGCTCACTCTCACGCTCTCACGCTCTCTCTCGCTCTCTCGCTCACTCTCTCACTCGCTCTCTCGCTCACTCTCTCACTCGCTCGCTCTCTCACTCTATCACTCGCTCGCTCTCTCACTCTATCTCTCGCTCTCACTCTGTCTCTCACTCGCTCTCTCGCTCTCACTCGCTCTCACTCGCTCTCACTCTGGCTCTCCCTCTCACTCGCTCTCTCACTCACTCACTCGCTCTCACTCGCTCTCACTCTGTCTCTCTCTCTCACTCGCTCTCTCACTCTCTCACTCGCTCTCACTCGCTCTCACTCTGTCTCTCTCTCTCACTCGCTCTCTCACTCTCTCACTCGCTCTCACTCTGTCTCTCACTCGCTCTCTCTCTCTCACTCGCTCTCTCACTCTATCTCTCGCTCTCACTCTGTCTCTCACTCGCTCTCTCGCATTCTCTCTCTCACTCGCTCTCTCACTCTCTCACTCGCTCTCACTCGCTCTCACTCTGTCTCTCTCTCTCACTCGCTCTCTCACTCTCTCACTCGCTCTCACTCTGTCTCTCACTCGCTCTCTCTCTCTCACTCGCTCTCTCACTCTATCTCTCGCTCTCACTCTGTCTCTCACTCGCTCTCTCGCATTCTCTCTCTCACTCGCTCTCTCACTCTCTCACTCGCTCTCACTCTGTCTCTCACTCGCTCTCTCGCTCTCTCTCTCTCACTCACTCTCTCACGCTCTCTCACTATCCTGCTTCTTACAGTCACCATTATGTCATTAGAAAGTAAACGAGCAAGGGAACCCACCGCCCCCCCCCCCCCCCGTGGTAAACGTGGTGGGGGGGGGGGTGAGAGCAGCAGCAGCGAGGAGGAGGAGGAGGCAGCAAGTTGGCGAAGCGCGGCCCGGCGCAAGCGGGGCGACGGAGCCCTCGCCAAGCTACTCCGGCTTCTCTCCCCCACGCCGCCTGCGCCCTCCAGGGGGGGGGGTTACTTGCTTGCGGTGGGGGGGGGGGCGTTGGGGGGGTGGGGGGGGCGGGAGTTGGGGGGGGGGAAACGGACAAAATGCCGTGAATCTGGAACGGAGATTTTGGGTTGGAAAAGTTGATGGTGGCAGCTGCCACCCTAGGGGGGGGGGTGGGGGCCCCCATCAGGGTCCCCCCCCCCCATTCCTCCCAGTTCCCCCCCCCCACCCTCTGGCTCCCACCCTGCCGCCCCCCCCCCCCCCCCCCCAGTTCACATTCGCTCAGAAGCATTCTCCACGCGCGCGGACGCGCGACAACATTCGTTAGTTCACATTGGTCACGACGACGACGTGATAACTACAACAACCCCGACAACCTGGGAGCCCCACGTGGCACATGGGGGGGGGGGGGGGAGCCGGGAGGGGGTGGGGGGGTAATAAGGACGCGAGGAACCGCGACCGCCACGACATGCGGGGGGGCGGGAGGGAAAAACAAAATCAATCGAGCGGCATCCGAGAAGCTTTCACAGTTACGCGCCGCTTATTCGGCTTCTACAGCTTGGCAGCGCGTCGCGAGGGACGGGAGGAGGAGGTTTCTGACTTTGCGAGCGACTCCCGGACAACCCCCGCCCCTCCCTCGTCGTCGGCAGCGAGGGAGTCGGGGAGGTTTGACCACACTCTGCTCGTTAACACATTCAGCAGCAAAACTCGCGCGTGTGCGAGTGTGTTCGACACTTCACGTGGCCTCAAGGTGCACATGGCCTGGGACAAGCCTAGTGGTGACGTCACCGCCACTTAGTTGTGAATGGCGGTTGTTGTTGTTGTGAATGTGTGTGTGGGCAAAGTCCCATCGGTGAGCTCCTCCGGCAGGCAAGGCTGCGTTGGCTGGGTCATGTAGCCCGCATGCCCAGCATGCCCTAAACAGCTTTTGTTCAGCCGGATCGAGGGGGCTAAACGGGCGCGGCACGGGCTAGAGAAGAGATGGAGTGATGTGGTACAGGAGGACGTGGAGCTGAGTGGACTTGCCGATGACTGGTACCAGCGGTGTCAAGATCGGCCTCTGTGTAGTAGGCTCGTGAAGGACGCTACTGGGCAGTTGGAGGCAGTCGCCCTCCAACAACAACGGAGGACAGAGGAGCGACGCTCACAACAACGAGCGGAGCGCCGGGTGGCTAAAGCACAGCAAGTTGGCGCAGTAGGGGGCACGCACAGGTGGTGCATCAGCCAGTCATCTCGGTCATCTCAGTCAGTCGACCCGTGGCACCTGCTGGGTCTGCCCCGTGACCTCCTGCCAGCGGGCGTTCGACACTTCACGTGGCCTCAAGGTGCACATGGCCTGGCACAAGCGTCGTGGTGACGTCACCGCCACTTAGTGGCGAATGGCGGTTGTTGTTGTGTGTGAGTGTGTGTTTTGGTATCGCTCCCGATTGGTACCCACCCCTGCCACTCATCTCTATCGACCCACCCACCCACCACTACCCACCCACCACTACCCACCCATCACTACCCCACCCATCACTACCCACCCACCCATCACTACCCCACCCATCACTACCCACCCACCACTACCCCACCCATCGCTACCCCACCCATCACTACCCACCCACCACTACCCCACCCATCACTACCCACCCACCCATCACTACCCACCCACCCATCACTACCCACCCACCCATCACTACCCCACCTGTCCCCACCCACCCATCACTATCCACCCATCGTTACCCACCGTACCCATTACTTCCCACCCCACCAACCCTACCCATCTCTCTACCCTTTCTGCTGGCGTTGATGAAAAAAGCCTCGCGCGTAAACACGGCGCAGACACCGAGGAGGCAAGTGGCGACGAAAGTTCACACGGTGGCGGTGGTGCGAGCGGCCACGCAGAGGCCCCCACGGCCCCCCCCCCCCAGCCCC